TGCTGCTAGGTGTAAGTTATAAAGACACGTGTATATTTATTCAACTTGAACAACTAAAGAATATGCAAAATGAAAATAGCAAAGATTTATATATTAATTAAAATATTAAAATGATAGAAAAATAATGAAATTAATTTTGATATTTAATTAAAAAAGTACAATTTATGAAGAAAGCATTTTACTTTAATTCATTCCAACTTAATCACTCACAATAGTTATCTTCTAATGTCTTATCAGCCTAGTGAAAACTATTAAAATCTCAAAATCTGCTGTGGGACATGTATAATTATATATTTTTGTAACATTTTATTGTTCACCAATATTTTAAACATACATTTAGTTATTGACTTAAAATATCTGGAACAAGGGTGACATTTAAGTTGTTCTTTTATATTCAACTCGTTAAGTGTAGATAGCAATGCCATTAATTTTGAAGCGAACGCAAAATGAGAAGAGTCGATTGTACTGCTAGTGGGCATCCTCTATTCATATCCGCAAAAATAGTAATCTAAAGTTGGCCACATCCCTTCACTATTCTCTCCGAAGGTGATACGTTTATGTCTAACGTCTGCTGACCACCAGTCTACATTCTTACACATTTGCCGAAGACGAATAGAGTCTAAGTAAGTGGTAACTCCAGTCAGCAGTTTCTTCACTCTTCTCCGCGCGATAGAAGTATTGAAGTTCTGCTGACCGCTATCCACATTTTCACTCTTCACGCAAGGAATGAAAATTCGAAGTTTTGCATGACCACCAATACGCAAAGCAAAAGAGTGGACGTTGTGATGATCGTCTAGTCATTTCCTTCATGCTTCTCCCGGACGTTGAGAAAGTCTAAGTTATCCACTGCCAATCGGTCACATTCTTCACTCTTCTCCCAGGCGAGAAGATTCGAAGTACTTTGCTGAACACATTCCACAATTCTCACTCTTCCCACAAGATGGACAGACTCGAAATTTTAACAGATTCGGATCTGCTGCCGCAAGTTCACACCCTTCACTCTTGTAACGTATTAGCAGCGTGCCTCATAGGCATCTATTTGGGACGCTGGTAGAGGATAGCCTCGCTACAAAAGAAGGGTTTTTTCCTAAAGGAGAACGCGGAAACGGGAAGACACATCGTCGGGATGTCATCCGGCCTTTTCACGTTATTAACAAGCAGAGGGTGGACGTGACTATAGGTCACGTAGGCCTCCCTATATATACAGTGTGTACAGAGCAGTGGGGGGGTTCTGGAGACAGTGGAGAACCTCTGGCGTGTGCACAAAACGTGGCCCACGACGGTGCATATGCGAGCCCGGCTCGCGAGGCTCGAGTCACTAGTTGACGAACACTGCGACTTTAGGTCCTTGGAGTGACTGCGGTCACGGGGAGCGATGCTGTTGCGTGCTCCGCGTGAAGAGTGGTTGAGTCCACGATTCACGCCCGATTCTCATCGGATAATATCGCTCCTGCGATCGAGGCAACCAGCCGTTGGTGCGCCAGAACGGACTTAGTGTCCCAACGTGACATCGTCACGGAAGCTAGCTTTGTGCCGCACTTCAAAAGTAGGAGTGGCGAATGCCAATCAAAACCATCTTCATCGGTTGGATCGCTCTCGCGATCAGGGATAGTAGGTTTATCAGAGCTAGGGTGTAAGTAATTATTAAGTTATATATTTGTGTTTGTTCTTGTTGAAATAATTGTCCACAAAAGGTTTAATAATTTTTATTAATTATTACCCAGAGTTAACTTTCGGGAAACACTTTTCCAATCCTCAGTGTCTCTAGCAAGGAGAAAAAAATTGAAACATTAACAACAAAAGAAATACAGTGAATTTAGTGAAAAACAAATAATATCAAATATATTCCCCAAATATACATTCACCCTATATGGGCCACCACATCTTACCCGCTTTATCGTATGTGAGGAAGATTTTTTTTTTAATTAGTGATATACAAAACGTGTAGCAATGCAACATAAGTTTTGTTGAAAATGTAATAATTACAAACCCAGCCCCTAACCTGACTCAAATTGAAAATTCTGAAGAGATAAAACTTCTGCAAGTCTTTAATTACAACAGGTACAGAAGAGCTCTGATAAGAAGGGTTCATATTCTTACTGGCCTAAGGTTCTTTGAAAATGACTTAAAAATAAGGGGAAAATGACTTCACAAAATACTAAAAATATGTAATGAAAATATTTATTCAATGAATTTTACAATTTTAAATAAAATTTATTTATATAAAATTATAAGTAATATAAAATTTTTATTTTGGTTCGATTTTAATTCCAAACCTACAATAGGAAGAGGATTATAGTTGTAATTAATTACCCAAATATTCAATGGCATTTTAGAAGGCAGTAATATGCCAGATATATGGAAATTAGCATATATCAATTTAACTTACAAAACAGGCAGTAAAAAAGATTGTAATAATTATAGAGGGATAAGGGTGACTTCATCTTTGATCAGTTTGTGCAGATGCATGCTAAAGAATATAATTGAAATGTAAATGTCATACTCAGAAGAGCAAAGTGGTTTTAGACAATATCCTGTATTGATAATATTTTCTGTCTCAAACAACTGACAAAAAAAAAAGTTGAGAAAGGAAGAAAACTTCACATACTTTTCATAGATCTCAAAAAAGCTTTTCATAATGTACCAGAAAAAGAAGTATGGGGGCAATGGAAGAAATAGAAATATCAACAATATACATAAATACAGCCAAACAACTTTATAAAGATACCAGAACTGAAGTAAAAGTGGGAAAATGTCTTTCAGACGACTTCCCAGTAAATAAAGAATTATGTAAGGCTGCTGTATTTCTCCATTCCTGTTAAAGAAATACATTGATAAAGCCCTAAAAGAATGGAAAGGAAAGTATAGAAGTATGGATGTGAAAATAGGTAATGAAACTAATGTTTAATCTATTTGTAGATGACCAAGTGAATAAGCTGAAGATGATATGTATTTAGAAAATTAGAAGAGTATGGAAAATGAAAATGTACAAAAGGCTGAGTATATGGTGGTGGTGATGAAATGACCCATGATTTAGAGTAGTGTAGGAATAGTTAAAAGGTATTCACAATATAAATATTTGGGAGTCACACTAACAGCAGATGGTGGAGATGAAGAGGATGTGAGAAATAAAAATGTATGAGGAAAAATAGCCACAAGACAGTTTAATCCAGGGCTGCAAAACTAATTTCAACGACAAAGAAACTCACATATAGCTCTTTTATAGAGAGTACAATACTCTATGGGGCAAAAGTCTGGATACAAAAAATATGAGAAACAAACTTCAAGCAACAAAAATGATGTTCTCGCAAAAATGTTGTAAACTTTCTGTTAGACAAAATAAGAAATGATGAAATTGGAAATAAAATGAAAGTGCAATCACCCTTAAACAGATGATCGAAATGAAACAATTAAAATGGTATGGACATATGAGAAGGTTAAAATAAAAAAGGCTTCCATGAAAAGTTTGGGAACAGATACCCAATCGAAGGTACAGGAGAAGGCTGAGAAAGAACATGGAACATGGCAGTAACTGAAGCCATGAGAAAAAGAGAAATGGAGGAGAAAGACATTTCAGATAAAGAGGCAGTTAAATTGGGTTGTGTAAACCGGCCAAGTCTGTAAAAAACTGCTAAATAGATATATAGTCTTTAATTTAGGAGGAAATGTTATCCTTGGCTCTGATCTTCCAACCGTCAGTTTTGAAAGGTTGAAGAAGTTACCGAAGATCTGTTTAATTTGTTTGAAAAACAGAATCTACAGCAGAATTGAATGTCATGAACTGAAGATACATTCACTGACAAAAAGAATGAAAAGGAAACAAAATGCATAAAAATTACACAAAGGTCTAAAAAAATTGAAACTGAAAATTTTAAAATTGAAAGAAAAGGCACAATAACTATATATATATATATATATATATATATATATATATATATATATATATATATATATATATATATATATATATCATGATAGACATTAATTTACAAGTTCGCTAAATCTAGAACGAAAAAAAAAAAATGACATGTCATCTGAATCCAAGACCTGCTCATAAGGGAAAACCAGTGGCTTCTTAAGGTAGATTATATTACTTTGATATTGATGACAAAAGTTTTTATAATTGAAGGGCTCAGTAGAACAAAGAGCTATCCCACATTTTTTGTGAAATTAAGTCATTAGCATTATACATACTTCAAACATTCTCTTAGATTAATATGTTATTTAATTCCAGTATGGACTTATATGTAAGTGTACTGTGTTTAAAAGTATAAAAATGTATCAAGTTATATGAGGGAAGATCAGGTAAAACCTTCAATATCTCAGAACTATGTCTATGTGAGACAGCCTAGTTTTTTTGTGTATGGAACACAGGTAAATTTTAGTTAATAATCAGAAAAGACTTCTATTATTTTCATATTTAATAAAAAACAGCTTTTAACAATACATCATGATCTTTAGACATTATTTTTCTGCATCAAGAACTTTCAAACAATAAGTAGACACCAGTTAGATCTTTTACATTTTTATTTATTGCACTTGGGACTTTGTATTGTGCCAGAGTAACCCTGCAGTAATCATGCATGGACACTCAGTCCACAGGAATTATTTTTCTTTCCTTTTAAAACGAATGGCATTGAGTTTTTTCAGTACTTTCCTGTAGAAGGTACTTTAAGTCACTCTAATCAATGTATAATTTTTTAATCTCGTTCATTTATTTCCGTAAGTTGCAAATTTCCTACATGCGAGTTACAAAATTGGTCTTATTATTAGCTTTTCATTAAAATATTCCTAATATTCCCAAGCTTTTTCTTTGCAGGTTCCTTTTATACCTAGATTTTTTCAACCCCTGTCTACTTTGTCTTTATATCCTTTTTTCAAGGCATGGACTTGCCGCATGTCTGGAAGGCCAGGTCATTGGGCAGCCCATATAGGGGTGGGAAAAATAACTCTCCTTCTCTCAAGTTTTCTTCTTTATCTACTAGTGATTGTGAAAAAAACAAACAATATTTGTGATAAATAAAAAAAAGTTGTTTGGCCTGAGAAAGATTGGAGGCCCCTCACAAATGTTTGGCTAAGAACCTACGTAATATACGGGCAACCTTACTGTAGGGTTAATAACCTGATGAATGATAATGGTAAGTTGGATGTACTTCAAGAAATTGCAATGAATTATAATTAAAGAAAAATATTCAGAATAAGGAAAGTAGAAGTCATCAAATGAACACATACATTGCCTGCCACAGTTGCAGATCTCTTTAACATTAATCCTGCCCAGAGAGGAAAATAAATTGCTAAAATCAATGTCAACAAACCAAAAGGAAAAACTTTGGATAATTTAAGTTATTCACAGAACTCATTTTGAACATATTGGTAAACAGGTTGATAAGAGCATTAAATGCTTAACAATATGACATTTCAACTTCTTATTATGTATAAAATATGTTGCATCATGTAACCACTTTAGTGTTATCTTCACACACTACTTACAATAACACATGATATATATCATGCATTATTGTATGTGTGAATATATATATATATATATATATATATATATATATATATATATATATATATATATATATACACACATTTGCATAACTGATTTTACACATGATCTATTAATTTTATGAAATTAGAACAACACACCATCTCCAAGATGGAAATAAAAGCCCAAACATCAATGAACTTTACAGTAAAATATCAGAAGTGATATTACCAATTATGTGAATTTTGTATGTTGCTTTTCAAAAAACATAATATAGTGCTCTTTTGAATTTATATCACTGCAAAAAATATTATAATTAAGTCACATTCCTACAAATCCGAAGTTTTTAATTTACAATAGATGGGTCTTCCAGGCCTTCAAAATTATATTATTTATCGTTTGTTCATTGTTGCAGTTTGACGAGAAAATGTACATCCTTTGACAGAGTGTATGGACTCTTTCTGTTCATTTAATTTGGTGAGCAAATTGGACAATTATATTTGTTTTCATTATAATCAGAGATCAGTTTAATATAAATGTTTTGAAATGTACAGAATACTACGGTCATTCACATAAAACAAATTGAACCGACTAACAAGATGAAAAGATATATACGGAAAAATTTGGAAACGTCAATCTTATTTTGCATGATAGACAAATACCCTAAAGAGAATAATTAACACCAAATAGATGTAAAAGACTTAATATTTGAAGAACTAAATGGTGTTCTTTCATCTCCAAAATGGGACCATTGGCAGTAAATAAAGAGGAATGAACAAGAAAAGTAAAATAAATTAAAAATGATCAAAACAAATGATCATAATTTTCTTCAGATAGTTAATGGAAAAACAAATATAATGTACTTCAAATGAATGAAAAATAACTGCATTTAGGATTTACAATATCCTTTATCCATTGTTTCTCAAAAAATGAAAATTATTTAAATATGTGGTTAATTTGTAAATAAGAGAAAATCTTTTGAACTTTATAAATCTGAAAACTGACAGACAAAAAACAAATCAGATGCAACAAACTCAAGTGAAATCATTAACATAGCCTTGTTAACTACTTTACAGTACTAACAATAATAATCATCATTATCAATTCCTCATAATATGAAACAAGTCATGCAGAGATGAGAACAAAGTAAATAAAGCTTTACGTTCTTCCTCAGACCTGCATGCAGCAAATCATAAATGTAGAACATCTACTTGCTTTCTAATAAAGAACTTTTAGAATGAATTATGGTTTAATAGTCAACTTAGTCATTAATCTACGTTGTATTTTCTATGATCAAGTGAAGCCAGTTATGCAAACAATTAATCTATACAATTAATAAAATATAAAAATTGTACTTTTTGATGTGGAGTGCAGTTCAGTACTTTTCAACTATTATTCTTATCTACAAAATAGACTGAGCATATAATATCAAAATTATAATATGTATCAAAGGTAAGAAATATATTATCTATAAAAAGCATTAAATACAACAATTTCAGATCTACTGAATGCAGCAGTCCACAAGCTTCTCAATGTGGACGGAATGTAATTATGTTATATAATAAACATATTGGACGGAAGTATTGCTGACATCCCTTATGGGTGTGATATAATTTCTGGGTACAAGTTCCAACACTTTTGTAAGTGCTTCTGATATTTAAATAAAAATTGTACATTTAGGAATAGATGAGTTGAATATTTGGAGATTGCCAAATTTCAAACAGCTGGTATTGTGAATAAACACACAACCAGCAGTATATCTGTAATAAAATATATGTATTAATAAAAAATTGAACAGGAAATTTATTAAAATTTACAAAAAAATTACCTTTTTTAGAAAGTTAAGTACTTACATTGTATGACATCCACAACCAGTCTATCAAGGCTGCTAATACAGATTGAAGCTGAAACAAATGAAGAGAACTTCACTTTTTTACTGGAAAAGCAATAAAATTCTTCTACTTTTAATAAGTTTTATAAAGTACAACATTACATAATATTAGGTCTTCCAAACATCCCAAAAATATTGTCAAAAATTTAACAATATATTTTTTTCTGGAATTTTCAATTGGCAATATTTTTAAGTCCTATATCAGTCGAGTCATGTAACAGGTATTAGAAGAAATATTTTCTTGATACATCTCTAAACTTTTTAATCCTTCACTCACATATAACGCAAGATACTAGAAAAGATGTTTCAGTTGTTTTCTTGAAAACTATAGGATTCCTGCTCCTCGCATATAAAGTTAGCTGTTCGAATGGGGATTTGCAAAAGTTTCATTGTGTAAACACATTTAATGACTTATTACTATTGATAAATGTGTCAACAGGTGAGATATAGATAGAATATGTCAGAAACAATCAAAAAATGTGTAAAGTATCTGTAATGGACACTGGGCATGGAAGTGGTAATTAAAAACAATTCAGGCAAATACTACTTGTTTGTGACCAATTTCTCATTCCTTTAAATATTGTGTCTCATATACATAACTAAGTACCTAAATCATATTTGTAAACTTAATTTGTGAGTTACATTAACAAAGATATCAGTCAAATCTATTCAAAATATAGAAATATAACAAATAAAAATAGAGTCGTTTAATTTTTCAAAGTGTGTATGTTAAGTGTTATCCATTGGGGAATATCATTTGATGGAAAAAATTTTTGGAAAGTGAAGATTGGTCATTTGTGGTCCTGAAGGTTATAGAATATCTTGAAATGATATTGCTTTAAATAGTAAGTGGTATATTTAAACATGTCGTTAGGAAATTCCTAAAGCCAATATTCATGACATATTAAATACTATTACCTCTTCACATTTATACAGTATCCTCATGGGTTTTCGTTATGGAATGGAAGTGTGAGATCTAATTTCCATGAACATTAATTTATTGACTTACAAATGACTTGAAATCAAATAAAAACTAAAGAGATCTTGCAATTCTAATATAACCCTTAAAAACAACCTATATTTCAATACAAATTTTAATACCAAGCTTAATAAACAAGGCTTGGATATTATGCAGTAAAAACATGTTCCAAAATATGCAGCTAAAATTTCACATTTTGGGTTTACAAATAAACATTAATACATTTTTCTTTCGTTTATACATCTCTGTAATTTTACACAGGCAATTTTTAAGATTTAAATCATTTCATATCGTTTTGGAGCTCTTTGTGGCCCAATCATCACGTAAGTCAATCTGTGTCTGAAATTACAGAGGTGTGTAAATGAAAGAATGAAGTTCCTTCCTGGCTTTCAACCTATTTACAGTCAACTACTGTAATTCAAAATGTTTTAAAGTACATACTTTATTGTGATATGTGTTTGTATGGGGCAAATTTGTTAGAATAATGAATGAGACCTGACGAATGAGCTCTGAAACGTGAAGTGATTTAAATGTTCATAAAATCATCCAACAAAAATTACAGAAGTGTTTAAAGTTAAAAAAAAAAAAAAGTTAATAGGAATAGGCTGATATAAAATAAAATGTAATACCACATAAGCAGGCCTACAGAAATTACTGGTGCCCAACAATATGTAGTTTCTCATACTATTGGTAACAGTCATGAAATATCATAGTATTGCATCTTCTATCCTATCATTTTAGATATCACTTGAAAAACAGCAAAACTGAAAATTATACAAAAACTAATACTTTAAAAAAAGTGTATGTTAAGTCATAATATTGAGAAAAAGGTTGATTAAATAAATAACTATCTACCTTTAATATACAAAATGTAAGACACATTCAAAAAACAGTTGAATTCAAAATGATGCAAAAACACACAAATTAAAACATTCATGTCTAACATTGGATTCAAACCCACAGCATCGGTGTCGTCTTTGGACCACTTGCCCTAAGCACTTGCCTTATGAGACTGGCTTGATTGATAGTACTATTACAAATGTGTTACTGTAATGTAACGTAAGAATTTGATGAGACCAACAATATAACTTAAAATGATATTTTGGTACATTTACATTCCTCTGTGTGCTTTGCAGCATTGAATTTATGTATATGAGCGAATGCAAGACCATTTGTTCCCATAGCAAAAAAACATGTAATGCAAAAAAAATTTAGCATTAAAATATATCCACAATGCACTCGATGTTCTCAAAATTAACTAACAATACACAAAATGTTCTAGGTGTGTGTGTAATGTTGTAGATGCCTACATAATAATTAGAGCATGTCAGTTAACAAAATGGGTTAGCTTACTTGTAATATACTGAGGAAATAATGTTCTATAAAAACATTTTTTCAGAGTTTCTCAATTTTTTGATCCCACACTAACGGAACAGATATATGACTTTAAGAAAATCATTGAAGAGTAAAACATGATTCTATATGCAAACTTTGGAGACATTTTTGAAAAAATAACAAATGAATGTTTATGAAAATGTGCAATACTACACTCATTTTCACAGAAAACTGCTGTGCTCTGAAAATTCAACAAACTTCTTAAGAAATCATTCACAGCAGTTGTACTCACAAATGAAATAATGTTATAAAAACACAGACCTGTCATGTAAATACTTTACTAACTAAATAAGTAAATACTTCCTTATAACTTTCTATAACTATCCCGCATTCTTTTCGCATTTGCAATTTTTCAAAATTTGTAGAGTTCAACGAAAACAAGACCTGTGTCATTCTTTTAAACATTCTTTTCAGTATCCAAGGGCATAGTTTGATAAAAAAAATTGGAGCCATTGTTGAGAAAATTAAAAAATGTTGAGGCTTCATATACAGTACCTAATCCCAAAATCATTTTCCATTTTAAACTCAGACGGACTTGGGTTCTTCTAAATCAATCAGAGATTATCAATTTTGGAGAAAATCAGCTGAATGTTTTATGTTCTAACCTAAACCACAGATGGACAGTCTGACAGATTTTGTCGTAAATTGATTTTTCAAAAATCAAAGACCCACAAAACATGAATTTTGACTTCACAAACTGTTAGGGGAAGTAATTTACTATATATAGGAACAAGATTATCCACTTTTTCGTTACCACAGCCCGGCAAGAGTTTTTCTGTTAAAAATTTGATGTTTTACAGTGCATTATTACAATACTTTCTCTTCTTAAGAAGTGTAATTTTTAAGAAATTAAAAGAATATAATGAAATGGTGATGTCAAGTTATTAATGGCATTTAGCTCTATCAAAAAAGATTTGGTTCAGATAGTTAATACAAAACTTTGGAGTTTTTTCTGAGAAACTCCTTTGGCCATATAATATGGCAGACATGGAAAGGGGATATTGTAAACTTTCTTGATGTATACAGTCTAAATTATTTCAAAATATTTGCGTTATTAAACATGATCATAGCACAATTGTGACATTTTAATACTTCTACAGGTGCTAACACTCTCTTGACAATAGCATGTTTCAAGGTTTGTTGACACAATTAATGAAACACCTCAAATGATTTCATAAACATTAAACCAAATGTCATGATTCAAAGAATAAATGAATACAACAGATGTTATCAGGGGCAGGGTATCACACAGAGGAAGCATCAGCAGGTTTAAACAGACAGGAGTGCAGAGGAGAATTTTGAGAAAGGAAATAGAGCTCAGGGAGGGGTCTTCGGAGGAGTACAAGAAGAGTGTGGAAGGGGAAACATGTACAGGTCGAAATGCAATTTGAAGAAATGAGTAAAAATAGGAATAAAATTACTACACATAAGAAACACTTAATAGTATAAAGATCCAAACCTTACATAATAATGATGCTAAATATAAGCTCATACATCAAATAAACATAAAAAAAAATATCTTAATTCATTGACTTACATAAATATAATAACCACCCAGGAGCCAAAGACCAAATACAAGTTGAAATGCTATTCCAATTCCCATTGTTATTAACCATGGAAGTAACCATCCACGAATCATCTCTTTTATTGCCTTGTGAATGAGAATTGAGGTTATAATCAAAATGAGGAAGTATGTAATAAATAATCCTCCAACCCATTTCATTGCTGAAATAAAAGAAAACTCGTTAGTATACACTCAATGGTCAAATTATGTAACACATACAGATTACAATTTTAGGTGTTGAATTTCATTCATGTAACTTCAATAAGTACAAAAACACTTTTCACATATCTTTTAAACATTCACACTTTTTACATAACAAATCTAATAATTTTAATTTTCAAAAATTAAAAATATTAAATGAAAATGGGGAAATTTAATGTTACAAAGCGCACTATGCTTGTCTCACAGCAACAAACTGGACCAATATTTCAAATAATTTTGAAAACAAAATACAAGCCTCAAATAACATATCTTAGAACATCTAACAACCTTTAATTAAAATGTTGAGGCCTTCCAGTTCGAAGAAAATCTATTCCAGAACATTAATTGTGTGCGAAATATTGCACAAACAAAACATTAAAAACTACTAAAAAATGCTTCAGAAGAAACACTTCTTTTGGCTTTTATGCAGGGCATAAGTTTTCAGTAAAATGACCTTATTTTTAATTTGACAATTCCAAAAACATCAGTCACAGAATACCTACTGATAAAAAAAACCTGAGGTTTTCCAATGAACACCTGGCACAAATAATTATATATCTCTTATTAAATAAGTTTTCTAATCTCTAGAATTAGACATAATAAACTGAATTTCTAGAAATCTAATAGAGAACATTCACAACTAATTAACATAATACATTATAGAAAATTAAATTAATTGAATAGATATTTCAAAAGAAGGTACCAAAATAAAATGTTAAAATTTCTAAAATCATGTGAACATCATAACATTTCAAATATTGGTATATAAAACATGTTATTACAGGACCAATTTCAGTGCTCTATCTGGAGTAATCTGTAGTTTGCTTCTTTGTTCTAACAAAACAAAAACATGGCATGTGATGTCTTGGGAAGAAGTACAACACATTTTCTAGAGTTCCTACTACTCTCTTTTACAATATATAATTGAATTATGAATAAAGAGAGAAACATTTGATTACAAGAAATATTAACTCAAGTGTAAAAGAAAGAATCTGCTTCAGTAAACAAGCTTCAGATTTTATTTAGTCGCACTGCTGTTGAAATAATTAAACATCCCACTATTACCCTACTGAGCTCAAAAACATCTCTGCAGATAGTGTACTTACTGTTCAGAATCAAAGCAAGTAGACCACCTGAGCATTTGCTCAATTGATGAAAAGGAAAACCGAAGAGAACCTACATGAAATGGGGATCATTGACCCAGAAACTGAACTTGACATTTAAACAAGTGAATCAATTTTAACAGTAATGTCATCTGACAATATTTTGTAAAATACCATACTACATGTATTATTTGTGGATTTTCTGTAGTAAGCTATCGATATTGATGCCTACAAATGATTATTACAGTATGTGTTATAATTAGATAATACCATTATTGGACGAAAAATTGTTTTTATCCTTCATCAAATTAATTTAGACAAGATAACTTATTCATAAATTAAAGAGGCACAGCAATGAGGATATTCCAAGCTCAATAGTGACTTGCAGGAATCATCTTCAGGGCTTTTCTTATTTATACATTCACAATCATTCTTTTGTGATTTGAAAGATTTGTTAATGTTTGTTTTTATTTGTTGGTTGTTGTAGTCTATTTTTTTTGTAACCTAATCTAATACTTGGTAAGTTTACTAACACATGTGAGATTTTAAGACTGCTTTGATACCTTAGCACAAGAAACCTAAGATGCTACAGAACCTTAATGATTATTAGTATCAAGGCTTATAAGGATATTTTATTTTTTTCTTACTGTTTCTGATTACACTAAATTTTCGAATTTATTCTCAATTCTAATCCAAGAGAAAATCACAAAAGAATGTATTTCAGTATACAAACAAAAGGTTAATCTTCAGTACAAAATGACACTTTTCTACAAAGCTTTTGTTCAAGAAATCTTATTAAACACATGTATACTAACGAAATAACATTTGTTTGCTTATAATTTTCATTGAAAGTGTGTTCAATGAAAGGGAAGAAAAAATTTACAAAAAATAAAACTATTGGTAATGTTCTTGAAAAACTTACAATGGCGAATGTCAGTTTCAAAGAGTGGTGTATATAGCTGAGAAGAATCCCCACCACTCAGCATATAAGAAATGAAAGTAATGAGTACAACACTCATTGCCTGAAAAAAATCATTTTTAGTTCCACATATCAATATTCAGATGAAACAAAATGGTAATTACACATGTTGATGATATGAGTGTCAATATAATTATTTTATACGCGAAATAAATGAGGTAAATGCAGTGTAATTCAATACATACAGTTGTGTAAACAGCAACTGAATAACTCCCACTTTTTACATCATTGTTCCAAATACATGGAGACCAACAAGTTTCCAACACGACCATTTTTACAGCCACACCTATAAAAGAAAAATCTCATTTTAATTTAAGCGCAAATTTTTCAACGAAAAATTCATAGCAATTTAATAAGCCTGCTATATAACCTAATCAGTGAAAGCCACGCCCAACAGATTCTCTAATATAAACCATATAAACCTGCTAAAATATTCTCAAGAATAGACAACAGAAACAAATCACAAAGAGTCAGGTACCTACAGAGTTTTATGAACAAGAAACGTTTTTAAATTTTGCAGTACTACAACACTATACCAACAAAAATACGTTTAAACGACATCAACAACGCCAAACGCGTCACGTAAACATCCCAATGTGTTGCCAACTACGAGGATATAAAACGAAGAGAACGAATCTGAGGAATAAAACTACATTTTGAAGGAAAGAAAAAATAAAGTACATTCGTTTTCTGTCCTATTTACTTATTCGTCATCTACAAAAGATTCCTCAGATAAAGAATAAAATTCTCAAGAAAAAGTCGAAAGAAATTTTTGTTTCATATTGTTGGAAGCAAGATACATTCTCGTAGAAGCGGTAGATTTGTTCGGTTCAATTAGGAAGCTTCCTTAAGTTCCCCAGCAGGTTTTAAACAAATATTTTGAACTTTCGTAATCGAGAATGATGAATAAAGATCAAACGCTTGTTGATCAGTGCGAGCAAGATGTTGAAGATGGTCTTTTTCAAGATGTTGATGTACTACAGGGTCACGGCATAAATGTGGCCGATATAAAAAAATTAAAATCCGCAGGAATATGTACGATCAAAGGTATTCAGATGTCCACTCGAAAACGCTTGTCCAGTATTAAAGGTTTCTCTGAAGCGAAAGTTGATAAAATAAAGGAAGTATGCAGTAAAATTGCGTGGCCTGGATTTTTAACAGCACTTGAAGTCAGTGACTTACGAAAATACATTTTTAGAATCAGCACAGGTAGTCAGGAACTTGACAAACTTCTTGGAGGAGGAATAGAATCAATGGCAATCACTGAAGCATTTGGAGAATTCAGAACTGGAAAAACTCAGTTATCTCATACATTTTGTGTAGCAGCACAAATGCCAGGGGAGAATGGTTATATGGGGGGAAAAGTAATATTTATAGACACTGAACACACTTTTCGACCAGATAGACTAAGAAGTATTGCCAATCGTTTTAATCTAGATGAAACAGCTGTGCTGGATAATGTTCTTTATGCAAGAGCATACACTAGTGAACATCAATATGAATTAATGGACTACATCGCAGCAAAATTCCATGAAGAACCAGGTGTTTTTAAATTGTTGGTAATTGATTCAGTGATTGCATTATTTCGTGTAGATTTTAGTGGGCGTGGTGAATTGGCAGAGAGGCAACAGAAACTAGCACAGTTTATGTCTAGGTTACAGAAAGTAGCTGAAGAATACAACATAGCAGTTTTCATTACAAATCAAATGACAGCTGATCCTGGTGCAACACTTACATTCCAAGCTGATCCAAAAAAACCTGTAGGGGGGAATATTCTTGCGCATGCTTCAACTACTCGCATTGCTCTCAGAAAGGGTAGGGGAGAGAATAGAATTGCAAAAATTTACGATAGCCCTGATTTACCAGAGAATGAAGCAACTTTTGCAATTTCAGAGGGAGGAATAATAGATGCAAAAGACTGAATAGAGAATTCTTCTTTCATTTTATTGAGAGGTATCTATACTGTTAACACAGTAATATTAATACTTGTTCAAGCAATAAGGTACTGAAGTGTACAGTTGTTTAAAGTAGTACTGTGTTTTTTTGGTTTCAATTGGTCACCCTATATTCAGGCACTTGTCTTCTGTGTGCCAGTGAAGAAAAACAACGTTTTAAGCTTTATGACATTATTTACTTGACATTATAATATTTCGAAAATGAGTAACACTAACACAAGGTCATAGTAATTTTATTCACTATCACAAAGTATTTTAATTATTTTCTGATTATTACTATTGTTTATATTAATTGGTAAAGAGATAAAAGATTACTACTATTTTTATTGATAAAGAAACACCCCAGTAGATGTGTATTTGTATTATATGTTATGATTTCCATCTCAAATGCTTATAATTTTAATTTGTATTATATCTTGTCAACTTAAAAGTAGAAGAGTATATAATTTGAAATTAATTTTCTCCTGCTACTCAGGCATAAATTTTTTCTTCTTCATGATCAATAGATTACTTCTTTCCTAACTTTTGGTAAAAAAAAAACAATTTATTGAAATTTCTTTAACTGTATGTGTTAGTTGTATTATAATATTTCTAAAATATTATAAGTATGTATTGTAATTTTGAACTGTGAGAGGAATTATTTTCACAACTGTAAAACAACACTGCAAATAAATTGCAATAAAGTTATTACATCACAATTCTGAATCATTTTTAGAAATGAATGAGTGAGTTTTGAGGTTTGAAAGAAAGAAAGAAAGAAAAAAAAAGTTTAAAAAATAGACTTACCCAGTTGTTTTTTTATTAATTTCTTTTTGGAGGAGTGTTAATGAGGAATATTATTTTTGAATACTATTGTATAAAATACTGATTTTCATCATTCAAACAGTCAAATTAAAAAACAGTCTGTTCTGCCAAATAGTATATGTATAGTGCATCCAAAGATTAACTCTCCCACCCCTCTTTCAAGATTTCAAACTCCTGTAATCATTACTAATTACACCAATTAACTTGCTCAAAGCAAAGTTCTCAAAGGATCAGAATTTTTTTCTGTATTAGACAAGATTCTGCTTTATTCAATGTAATGCTGTAGAATTTATGATTGGCAAGACCGCAATTTATGTTCACGTTACACAAATTTCCACATTGTACACATTTCGCATTGAGCAAGTTTTACTGTAGTACCTATTGGGTTGGGTAATTAAAAAACAAATGTGTAACATGTAGCAAAGTTTTAAAACAAGTTTACATTTTACTAGAAATTAATTTTGTACTTGTGATGTCTATGTATTTATTTGGGCGTGTTTGTTATGACAAGTTTGGAGTTGCCAACAAACCAAGTTTACCAACCAACAAATGTTAGATGGTCAACAAACCAAGTTTGAATTCTATTGTTGGTTTTCTTTAAGTACTTCTGTAGTTTTTCATAGTTGTTTCTTTGCATTTGTTGTGATTCAATTTGACTTTTAAATGAATATTTTGACACATAAAATTATAAGTTCTGTTACTTTATTTGAAATAGTTAAAAAAACCATCAAAATATTTACATTGTCAGCAAAAAGTTTAAAGACACCTATCAAAATATCGCAGTCAACAGTACAGCTTGAACTTTCCTCTAATCTGCACATTGTAATAATGGAACTGAAACTACAGTAGAACTGTAATTCATTGGTACAAACAAGAGATCTGAAACTAAATCCATTCGAATTGTAAACAAGTTTTTGTAATTTTAGGCACACTTTGAAAAATGTAATTCTTAACAACGAGAAAAATTTCAACTTGAAAATGGCTTGAAAGAGATTTCTGAAATTTGTTATGCAATCAGTTCTACCAGGTAGATGTCATTACAAATGAAGAAATAATTTCTTTTAAATATTTTAAGAAGGTTGAATATTTCTAAATTTGGTAAAATGTTCCAAGAAAAATCCCTGTATTCAATCTTCCTCCCTGTTAACAGACATGTGGCTAGATGTTTGTTTCCTGTGCCAAAGAGATCCAGTGTGTCATCATAATATATCAATGTGTACTATATATCAATGGGTACTAGGAGGCTTAAGACATAACAACAATAGATCAGCAAAGCTGGATAACATAGCAGCTGAATTGTTTAAGATATCATAAGATCATACTCCTACAGAATCCCCAAGATTGTACAGAAGCTACCTCACATTATTAGAGGAGCCTGAGAACATTTCTCTAACCCTTCTGAAGACATGTGTTATTTCATGCCATTTGTTATCATGTGGAATTTCCTGACATCAATATTCTATTCTTTCCAATATTGGTAAAAATTATTGTAATTTTGCATTTTATTCTTTGTAATATTTCTTGAATAAATATTGTTAGTTTTTAATATCTAAAGTTTATAAATAAATTATTAATTGTTTCAAATGCAGTATAAAGTAAGTGGTGATGATATATTTATTACCTTGCTTACGGTAACTACTAGAATATAAGTTATTTTTTATTTATGTATGAAAATCCTTAACATTATTATTAATTTTTTAAATATTATTGTCACTAACCTCTTATTGTTCTCAAGCATCTTAAATCATTCTATTTTATTATTATATTAATATCACAGACGAATCTAGATGTGCATGGGGATTGCAGGAGTTCTCCGTCAGAAAGAATACATTCTATTTTAAGCACATTAACACGCACAAAAGATTCTCTTTTCTTGGTGGTAGGTAAGCAAGCTGATGAAAGGTACTATCAATTGCAGAAGAGTAGGACAATATTATTTTACTTGGCAAAGGGTCTGGGGCCACCTATAGTCCCTCTTGCAACTATTGAAGGGTTAATGAACAGGAGGTAGCAACAATGTGTCCTATCCATAAAAAGCAAGATCAGCGAGAACCCAAGAAATTCAGAGATGTTACTCTGCTACAGACTGTAGAAAATGTTGAACATCTTGTACGAACGGTTGCTGCCATTCTTGGAGGAAGTGCTTTGCCGATATCAGTGCGAATTGCATATAGGAAGGTCAATCATTGATCAATTATAAGCAGACCAACAAATAATAGAGACAATTATGAAACAATGAATAACTGTATCCTTTGTACATCGTAAACATACACCTACTGTCTGTGTACAGATTTCAAATTTACATATGATTGTATTATAAGGATAGAACTACTCTTGGCAATAGAAGAGTTTGGAATTCCACTTAAACTTAGACATCTTATTGGAGCAATATTGAGAATAATTAGATGTGGAATTTTTGTTATTTTTTAAAGTTTTTGCTTATTTTCATTTGTTGTGTTGTAATAGACCCAACTTGTCTCCCACCCCTAGTAGAGCATTGAGTGCGGTTTGGAGAAATCCTCAATTTTAACACACACATATGTGTGAAGTCACACAAGAGTAATCTTCTGTTAACATTGTCAAGTTGGTAGTCAAGAGAACTGCCAGGTAGTGTCTTGGCGTATGGGCCTCTTACATCACACTCCTGTGTTACAAACCAATGGCCAGAATTGAGAGGGAATTGGGATATGGATAGGATTTAGGGTGCTTCGCATGGGTTGGACTCACCTCTGTGAAGTATGCAAACTTCTTTTGTTGGAACAAATTTCACATGAGATTGTCCGAAATTGAGGAAGGCTCACTCAGGGTTGGTGTTCCAATGAAGAGGGGGAAAAAATTAAAAGAAGGAGAAAGAATAAGAATATATTTATTTTAATTATTGACATTTGTCTTTCTTTCTTGATTTATTTCAATATTTATCTAATAATTGAAGTGACTACAAACAGAGTTAATTTGAATTCACTCATTTGTAAAACATGCTGTTATTTATAAACTGGATAAATTCTTAACATTATAAATAATTATGGTGTATTTCAACAGTTGAGTGTTCAAATCTTCAAGGGTCCCCAATCTTTTAGACATGATGAAAGAGTAAAAATAGTCACTAAAATTATACACCATTATATGCTTTTAACAGAGGGCAAAAAGATGCCATATTTTCTAAAGTTTTCACTTCGTATAAAGGAGATCATGATGAACGGGATATTCCATGTTATTTCTTCCTCATGATTAATCTAGTATAAATAGCTCAGTTGATGACTACATCATTACTGGAGTTAAGTTTATTTACATCAACATGTACTATTTAGACAGGGAAATGGGTAGTAAAAGAAAGTTATAGTTAAGTCTCCTCGAAAAGTCCTTGTATTCATAACATTTTTGTTCAACAACAATTAAATATTAATGCAGAAAAAATATTGAAGTATTCTGATCACTACCATGTCAATCTAATTTAAGGCCATTTTATATAATTATAATATAATTAATAATAGTTCAGAATTACTACATATGATATAACAATGAATGTGTTAGGTTACAGATTGATGAACATACTCTTACAATAAACCAGTAACAAGAACCCTGACACATTAATAGAGTATATGCATAAGTAGATTATTTATTAAAGGGAAAATAAAATTATTAATAGACCGGAATTATTGGACACAGTTTACAATGCTGTTGTTACAAACAATAGATATAGTATAATTTATTTTTTTCAAAGATTTTGTTTCACATAAACATCCCCAATCCTTTTAAAAAGAAATAAATAAACATTAAATAGAAAAGCAGTTCTTGGATTACACAAGGAATTCGAATAAAATATAAAAATGAAGTACTCTTTATTTTATTTCTAAACATCGTAACACAACATTTGTTTTCCATGTCATCTTATGAAAACAACACAAGCATTTTAAGGGAAGACAAAGCACAAGCAAAAATAGTGAACTGGTGGTGCTTCAGAATGGCACAGACTTATTCATACTAGTTAGATCGCTTATTTCTGCACCGGCTTAGGTGATTCAGGGCATTAATTGATGTGACTGCAGTGCCTCTTGCCTCTGCTTCTCGCAGGGTTCGGGTCCAGATGGGAGCAGGATTTTCGTCACTGGCTGAATAGCTAGATCGACTTCAGCCGCTGTCTGGAGAAGAATTCTAGAGGCTGG